GAAGCGTACATGTGAGGGTAGTGCTGAGTCGGGTCTTCTAGTCTAGCCCAGCGGAACGTGTGTGTGTGTGTGTGTGTGTGTGTGTGTGTTTATACTGTACATATTGCCAGGCGTTCGTTCGTCTGGCGTCACGATGAGAAATAATAGGGAGACGGACGGGTTCAAGGCGTAGGAATTTTGGCCCACTGATCCCGAGGCTTAAGTCTAGCAGAGTTTCCCGGGGATTTTAGCGGAAGTTTAGTAAAGTTTTTTGGCGGAGTTTTGCAGAAGAGAGGAGGAGGAGGAGGAGGAGGTGGTAATGGGGAGGGAAGAAGCGATAAAGAAAGAAAGGAGAATAAAAGATAGAGATGAAAGATGAAATATAGGGGGTTGTGAGGTGTGATAGGTGAAGTGTGAGGCACTGTATGAAAGGAGAGGGTTGACGTGTGAAGGGTGAGAGTGGGGGTATGAAGAGTGAGGAGCCAGGTGTGAGGTATAAAGTGTGAAGGGTGAGGTGTGAGGTATGAGGTGTGAAGAAAAGAGTGAGGTGTGAGGTATGAAGGGTGAGGTGTGAGGTATGAGGTGTGAAGAAAAGAGTGAGGTGTGAGGTATGAGGTGTGAGGTATGAGGTGTGAAGAAGAGAGTGAGGTGTGAGGTATGAAGGGTGAGGTGTGAGGTATGAGGTGTGAAGAAAAGAGTGAGGTGTGAGGTATGAAGAGTGAGGTGTGAGGTATGAGGTGTGAAGAAAAGAGTGAGGTGTGAGAGTGTGCAAAGGCAGGGACTCCAGGGATAGAAATCCCTTACCAGACCAATCAGGTTCTTAATAAAGGAAAGTCAAGGACCATGGTTTTCTGAGGAATAACAAACAACCGTTTGAGATTGACATCTCCTTACTATAAAAATATAACAAAACTCTGACACCACTCAACAAACATCAAATAATTACGGGAGTCAAACAATTAAGGCAGTCAACAGTTAATGGAGTCAAACAATTAATGGAAGCAAACAATTAAAGGAATCAAACAATTAATGGGAGTCAGCAATTAATAGAATCAAACAATTAATGGGAGTCAACAACTGAAAGAATCAAACAATGAACAGATATTTCCTACGGCAGTGGCCCTGGGGGAAGGTTCTGGAACAAGGTGATCCACACGCAGGGTAGGGAAGCGTCCATTCAACTCCACACTCGAGCGACGTCTTGAAATGGCAGAACACAGGGGCACAGACGGAATGAGATGAACTGACGGTCGTGGTATGGTAGTGGTAGATGACCAGAGAATTGACAGTCTATAGGTGGAGGTCTGGGGACACAGCCCACGAGTCCAGGACCTATGATGAGATCACAGCCAGAATTTGACGAACAGCTGGGTAGCTAGTTAGTGACTGTATGGCAGCTGGGGTGAATCTGCCTGTGACCCAGATAGACGCTGCCGTTCTCACCTCTGTCCAACCGCCCCAAGTGTCGTCCGCACCAGCAAACGGCTTAGGTGTAATAACCAGCAGAAGATCATTCCGCCACTTACAGAATATGAAGGTGATGTATAAAGTGTGAGGGTGAAGGAGGTGAGGTGTGAGGTGTGAGGGTGCTGAAAGAAGAGAGTGGAGTGTGGTGTAGGGTGTGAAAGAGAGGTGAGGTGGTGTGACGTGTGAAGATGAGGTGAGGTGCAGGGGGTGTGGGGGTGCTGAGAGTGTGGTGTGTGGGGTGAAGATGGGGGTGAGGGTGTGGGGTGGGGGTGTGAAAGAGAGGTGAGGTGTAGGGTATGAGGTGTGAAGAAAAGAAGTGGGGTGTGAGTGAAAGGTGATGTGTGGGGTGTGAAGTGTGAAGGTGAGGTATAGGAGGTGTGAGGTGTGAGGTGAGGGTATGGGAGGGTGTAAGTGTGAAGATTGAGTTGTGAGGTGTGAAGATGAGAGTGAGGTGTGAGGTGTGAAGGGTGAGGTATAGGGAGGTGTGAGGTGTGAAGAGTGAGGTGTGAGGTTTGAAGGGTGAGGTATAGGGAGGTGTGAGGTGTGAAGAGTGAGGTAATGAATGTCTCAATAGTCTTAGAGTCAGTATGAGACACAGACATACAGAGCAAAAACAAGAGAAAAGGGAAAAGGAAAATTAGATATAAAAGGCCGGGCCTGAGCTAAGGAAGAGAAGATAGAATAAACAAGGTAAACAAACACTGGCTCACACACGTACGCTTCCCCCCGCTGGCTACAAACACCAGTGGAGAGAATAATACTTGGCAATTAATCACTAATTAGGAAGGTAACTGCAGGTAGGTTACGGCAATAACAAATTGTCCCAATGACGTAATAAAGTCAATAGTCGCCATCACTGATTGATATATTTTTGTCCTTCCTTCAGATAATTCAAGTTCTGCGGAGTCCTCTCCTCTTCTGGTGGTGTTCGTGGGCGCTGTGAGCGGCTTCGTCTTCATCCTGACTGTTCTAGGGGTGGCGACGCGTTCCCGATGCCGGCGCCGACGGATGAGTCCGGACGTATCTTCCGACACCAACAAACCGCGGGAAGAAGGTAAACAAACACTCTAGCCCCGGGGGTCCATCCGGGAGAGGAGACAGAGCCTCTTGGAGAGAAAGACAGACGAGAAAAGGAGGGAAAGACAAAGATAGAAAGAGAAAGACGAAAAGAAACCGTGACTAATAACCGCTGCATCAGCCATTACGACTTTCCTAAAACACTCAACAACTCTGGACTCGCTGTAATGACTTCATACTTGGGTGGAAATTACTCCTTGTACCTAGAGATAAATTACGTGCGAGAGAGAGGAATGAAAAATAATTAAGTCTGGGGAAGTCATCATAATAATAAGTGGTAGCAGCAATAATGATGGCAGGGTTGTTGATGGAGTCGTGTTGTGTTGATTGAACGTCGAGGACTTGAGTTCGAATTGACTTTGTTGTAAAAGAGAATTTGGTCATCTGGAGAAACGAAATTTGAAGGAAACTTTTTATATTAAAATATATTAACCATTTCTCTCTTATTATCTGTCATTTCTCTTGTTATTATAAATTTTATGTGTATTTGATTATTCTTCGACTAATTCTTTATCATTACTCGGGTACTTATTCTTTACTTTATCATTACACTACGACAGGTATTCACAGGCGACTATTCTTCCATCTGTGATGATAATTATCATCCACTTCATCTTGTCGTCCTCTGAGTGTCAGTGCTAATTAACTTTTGTTCCTGAGTCGCGAGGCATTGATTTACCTATAATTGTATTCTGATTCTCTTGATTTGTCTTCTATAATTATCGTAACTCTATATTGGATGGACTTACTTGTTTGGTCGTAAGTGAATAATGTTTGGTCATGTTTGGTGAAGTTTGATGCTGTTTGGACGTGATGTATTAGAACACACTCTCTCTCTCTTTCTCTCATTTCTCCCACTTTCCCACTCTCTCTCTCTCTCTCTCTCTCTCTCTCTCTCTCTCTCTCTCTCTCTTTCTCTCTCTCTCGCCAGTCATGTGGGCGGGTATCATACATAACTTGCGGTGAGTGGGAGTGATGGCACGCCAAATTTTCATCGCGGAAGATTTTTATAATGATATTCTTACATCTTGTCATGGGGCACGGAGCAGACACCAGACACGGAGCAGACACCAGACACGGAGCAGACACCAGACACGGAGCAGACACCAGACACGGAGCGGACACCAGACACGGAGCAGACACCAGACATGGAGCGGACACCAGGCATGGAGCAGACACCAGAGACACGGAACAGACACCAGACACGAGCAGACACCAGACACCAGGACAGACGCACCAGACACGGAGACAGACACCAGACACCAAGGGCCTGGGCAGACACGGAGCAGACACCAGACACAGACAGACACCAGACACACAGGGCAGACACGACACAAGCGGACACTGACACACGAGCAGACACCAGACACAGAGACACCAGACACGCACAGACACTCAGGAGCAGACACCAGACACGGAACAGACATCAGACACAGGAGCAGACACCAGACACGGAGCGGACACCAGACACAGGCGGACACTGTGACACGGAGCGGACACCAGACATGGAGCAGACACCAGACACGGAACAGACACACAGACACGGAACAGACACACAGACACAGGAGCAGACACCAGACACGGAGCAGACACCAGACACGGAACAGACACTATGACACGGAGACAGACACGGAACAGACACCAGACACGGAACAGACACTGTGACACAGACACGGAGCAGACACCAGACACGGAGCAGACACCAGACCAGGAGCAGACACACTAGACCACAGAGCAGACACCAGACACGGAGCAGAGACAGACACGGAGCAGACACCAGACACGGAACAGACACCAGACACAGGAGCCGGACACAGACACGACAGACACCAGACATGGAGCAGACACCAGACACGGAACAGACACCAGACACGGAACAGACATCAGACACGGAGCAGACACCAGACACGGAGCAGACACTGACCACGGAGCAGACCACGGAGCAGACACAGACACGGAGCAGACACTGCGACATGGAGCAGACACCAGGCATGGAGCAGACACCAGACACGGAACAGACACCAGACACAGAACAGAACAGACACAGACACGGAGAGCACACCAGACACGAGCAGACACAGACACACCCAGACACGGAGCAGACACCAGACACGGAGCAGACACCAGACACAGAGCAGACACTGTGACACGGAGCAGACACCAGACACGGGCAGACACAGACACTGAGCAGACACGACACAGGAGCAGACACCAGACACTGAGCAGACACTCAGACACGGAACAGACACCAGACACTGAGGAGACACCAGACACGGAACAGACACCAGACACGGAGCAGACACCAGACACGGAGCAGAGAGCCAGACATGGTTAAGACACCAGACACTGAACAGACACCAGCCACGGAGCAGACGCCAGACACAGGCAGACACCAGCCACGGAACAAACACCAGACACAGAGTAGACACCGACACGGAGCAGACACCAGACACGGGCAGACACCAGCCACGGATAGACACCAGACACAGGAGCAGACACCAGCCACGGGAGCAGACACCAGCCACGGAGCAGACACACTGCATCACGGAGCAGACACCAGCCACTGAGCAGACACCAGACACAGAAACAGACAGCAGAGTACGGAGCAGACACCAGACACGCAGCAGACACCAGACACGGAACAGACACCTGACACGAGAGCAGACACACACAGACACAGGAGCAGACACCAGACCACGGAGCAGACACCGACACGGAGTAGACACCAGACACAGCAGACACCAGACACGGAGCAGACACAGACACAGACAGACACACCAACAGACACAGAACCACCAGACACGGAGCAGACACCAGACACGGAACAGACACCAGACACGGAGCAGACACACAGACACGGAGCAGACACTGCAGGAGCCAGACACCACAGAGCAGACACGGAACAGACACCAGACACTTTAGAGCAGACACCAGACACGGAGCAGACACAGACACAGAGTATGACACAGGGCAGGACCCCACCAGACCCAGGGCAGACACAGACACTCAGACACAGAACAGACACCAGACACAGCAGACCAGACACGGAGCAGACACCAGACAAGTGAGCAGACACCAGACACGGAGCAGACACGGAGCAGACACTGAGCAGACACTAGACACTGAGCAGACACCAGACACGAGCAGACACTAGACACTGAGCAGACACCAGACACGGAGCATACCACACAGACACAGACAGACACCAGACAGGAACAGACATCAGACACGCAGACACTCAGACACCAGGAGCAGACAGCAGACAGAGACACGACACGGAGCAGACACCAGACACTGAGCAGACACTGAACTGGAGCAGACACAGACACAGGCAGCCACAGACTGGAGCAGACACAGACACGGAACAGACATCAGACACGGAGCAGACACCAGACACGGAACAGACACCAGCCACAGGTGAAGACACCAGCCACCGGAGCAGACACGGACACAGGAGCAGACACTGAGCCACTGAGACAGACACCAGACACAGAAACACAGACAGCAGACCTCAGACACGGAGCAGACACCAGACACGGAACAGACATCAGACACGGAGGAACAGACACAGACACACGGAGCAGACACCAGACGGAGCAGACACACAGACCGAGCAGACACCAGACCACTCAGAGCAGACACCAGACACGAAAAGACAGCAGACACAGGAGCAGACACCAGACACGTGAGCAGACACCAGACACAGAACAGACACCAGACACGCAGCAGACACCAGACACAGGAGCAGACACTGTGACCACTGACACGGAACAGACACCAGACACAGGCAGACACAGACGGAGCAGACACACATGAACAGAGCAGACACCAGACACGGAGAGACAGACACGGAGACACCAGACACGAGCACAGACACGAGCAGACACTACCAGAGCACTATGACACGAGCAGACACCAGACACAAGGAGCAGACACTGCAGACCAGAAGAGACACTGACACAGAGAGCAGACACTGACACAGAGCAGACACACCAGACCCGGAGCAGACACCAGACACTGAGCAGACACCAGACACAGGAGTAGACAATTGACACTGAGCAGACACTACAGACACGAGCAGAGACACCAGACACTGAGCAGACACCAGACACGGAGCAGACACCAGACACGGAGCATACACTGCATTAATGGTTAAGACAATTGCGACACGGAACAGACATCGATATGGAGCGAGACACTGAACAGTGAACAGACACTGCACACGTGGGAGCAGACACCAGACACGGAGCAGAGAGCCAGACATGGAGCAGACACAGACACTGAGCAGACACCAGCTGGGCAGACACCAGACACGGAGCGGACACCAGCCACGGAACAAACACCAGACACAGAGTAGACACCAGACACAGAGCAGACACCAGACACAGGCAGACACCAGCCACAGGAGCAGACACAAGACACGGAGCAGACACCAGCCACGGAGCAGACACCAGCCACGGAGCAGACACACCAGACACAGAGCAGACACCTGCCACTGAGCAGACACCAGACACGATTAGAACAGACAGCAGACAGCAGACACGGAGCAGACACCAGACACTCAGATACGGTACAGACACCAGACACGAGCAGAAGACCAGACACGGAGCAGACACTGAGACACGGGAGACAGACACAGACACAGAAGACACCAGACACAGAACACCAGACACGGAGCAGACACCAGAATGGAGACACCACCACAGACACAGACACGGGAGCAGACACAGGGCGAGCACCAGACACAGAGCACACCAGACACAGGCAACAAACACCAGACAACACCAGACACACAGAGCAAGACACCAGACACGGAACAGACACCAGACACTGAGCAGACACCAGACACGGAGCAGACACCAGACACGGAGCAGACACCAGACACGGAGCAGACACCAGACACGGAGCAGACACCAAGTAATGGGCCGAGTCGTGACAGTGAAGAAATTACACCTGATCGATATGGTTGTCTATGCA